CTCAGAGAACATGGATTCTCTCCACTCCTTGATCAGCTTCTCCATGGTAAGAGCAATGTCATTTGCTGTGGAGGGTTCTCCTTCCTCAAGAGCACTATGGCGGAATTTGATCATTGATTCTTTTCTTTTCTTCTCCATCAGCCATGCATCAAACTCTTCCATTTCTTCTTCTTCCAAGGCCTTGACATGCCTTTCTGGAGATAGGTCAGATGTGGGAACTTTACCTTGATATCTGTCTTTCTTCTTTTGTAGGACAGAGATCAGGTAGGTAAGGTTGAAGCATTTTGACACATCATCTGTGCCTACCCAGTGAAGAACAGCAGCTTCTTCTTCTTCATAAGCATCGAAGTACTGAATGATTTGTTGGAGAGGTCCCATTCTCCATCTTCTCCAAGCTAGGACTCTGTCAAACTGCTTCTGCAGAATGATTCTGAAGTCAGTTTCTAGGTCCATCTCTGGTGTGGCTTCACGCTCTGGTGAGAGAGCAGAGTTTGGCAACTCTGGTGCATATTCTGGATCAGCCTCCGGTAGAGTTCCAGATTCTGGTGCAGGTTCCCCCTGAACTGCTGATTCCTTGGCAGGTGAGATTACTTTAATCTTCCTCTTTTTCTGCCTTGGTTGAATGCTTGAGTTGTCAGAGTCACCACTCTGCACAACCATCTTTCTTCTTCTCTTCTGCTTCTGTTTTCTGGCAGGAGATTTTCTGGTTGCCTTTGGGGAGGGCAACTCTGGTGCAACCTCTTCTGTTGCTTCCTTCTCTGGTAGTGACAGATTGTCACTTCTCTTCTTCTGTCTGACTTCCCTTACAACCTGTGACTGCTCAGGTTGTTTGGGCTTTTTGGTAGCTTTCTTAGGAGCAGGTTTGGCCTTAGCAGCCTGTTCTTCCCTTTTCTTCTCCAGCCTTTCCTCTCTCTTAAGCTCAGAGGAGATGGCTATGTTGAACTTTGGGGAGGCTGTGAGAAAGATTGTCTTGGAGTGATCAACTGGGATGGGATCCCTGAGTTGAACTCCTTTAGAAGCAAGAATGGCAGAGATGAGAAGCCCATGTCCCATCTTGGTTGAGAAAAGACCTGTTTCAGAGTCTTTCTTCTTGATGAATTCAGTTAGGGAGCCAAAGATTACCTCTCCCCAATTGATGTTCATGCCATGGTGAACTGCAAAGATTGCCTTTGCATTGTTTCTGTTCATCTCATCTGTTGAAGCAGTTTTGCACCATAAGCACCGGTGCAGAATGCTGACCAGTTTCTCAAAGTCCTTCTTCAACAGGAATTTCTTCATGTATAGTTTGTCCAGTCCGGCAGCCTCCGGACGACAGTATGTCTGAACAAATCCTTCAGTGGATACTTCCACTGAGTCAAGAGCAATAAGGTTGTTGGCTTCCGGGTCTTGGGAGTCAAGTTGTACTCCAAAGAACTCATTGAGTGCGTCTGCATTCAGAAAAATGCGTTGACCCTGCACTGAAGAATGAACTCCGGTCTTGGAGATGGTGGCGTTGAGGTAGAACTCAGCCACGTCCTTGATGCTGAAGTGCTCATAGGGGTGAGCAACTACCTTGGAAAGTTGTGAATCAGTCATCCCTTGGATGATCTTGGTCATCCTCTTCTGGTTTTCTGCCAGCAGTGGTAAGGACGACATGTCAACCTTCATGTCGGAGACAACGTTTGCAATGAGGGTCTTAGCTTCTTCCTTAGAAAGATCGTTGATGCTAAGGAAGTTCATTCTGAGTGACGGTTAAGAAAAATTTCTGGAGATTGAAAAGTTTAGGATCTGAAAGCTTTGAGTACAAGAGCAGTTTAAGAGAGATGAAGTTGCAGTAGGGATTTAGGTTGAAGACGGTGGATATAAAGGGGTTAGGAATAGTGGACGTTTGGTATATTGGCAGTTTCGAGGTAGCATTTAATGGAATGCGGGCGGAAAACGTTTCAGTTAGAAGAGTAACGATCAGGGGTATTTTGGTAAAAGACCGTTTCAGTTAATTAGGTCTTGCCCGTACCTCGAAATATTGCTAAGTCCACATTCGTATCTGTTGTCTTTCTGATAGGGATCTCTGGTCAGAGAAGGGGAGGTTCTCTGATGTGAGATTGTGATGATCAGAGATAGGGGTTCTCTGATCTGAGTTTCTGGTGCAGAAGAAAGCAGTTCTGGTTCAGTGAATCTCTGGTTCAGGCATCTCTGGGAAGATCATCCATCATTCCCAATTCTTCTCTTAGCTCGTTAAACCTTGCCTCAGGTAAAGGCTTGGTTAGGATGTCTGCAAGCTGGTCTTCTGTAGGCACATGCTCCATACAGATATGCTTCTTCTCAACATGATCTCTGATGAAGTGATGTCTGATTTCAATATGCTTTGTCCTGGAGTGAAGAACTGGATTCTGAGAAATAGCAATGGCACTGGTGTTGTCACACAACAGCTTGATCTCCTTAGCTTGAATTCCATAGTCCTTCAGTTGTTGCTTCATCCAGAGTAACTGAGCACAGCAACTCCCAGCTGCAATATACTCAGCTTCAGTTGTGCTTGTTGAGATTGAGTTCTGCTTCTTGCTAAACCAGGAAACAAGCCTTCCTCTTAGCAATTGGCAGTGACCAGAGGTGCTCTTTCTGTCTAGTCTGCAACCTGCAAAATCTGAGTTAGAGTAACCAATTAGTTCAAAGTTACCTCCCTTGGGATACCATAGGCCTGCATTTGGATTTCCTTTGATGTATCTGATGATTCTCTTTGCAGCGCATAGATGGCTTTCCTTGGGCTTTGATTGGTATCTGGCACAGATTCCAACAGAGAATGAGATATCTGGTCTGCTTGCAGTTAGGTACAGCAGAGATCCTATGATCCCTCTGTATGTTGTTGCATCCACATCTTTTCCTTCATCATCAGGACCAATTCCTTGTGATGTGTTCATGGGAATCTTTACTGAGGATTTGCCTTCCACTCCAAACTTCTTGATCAGATCTCTGGTGTACTTCCCTTGTTTGATAAAGATCCTTTCTGGAACTTGTTTGACTTGAAGTCCTAGGAAGTAATTGAGTTCTCTCATCATACTCATTTCAAATTGACTCTGCATCACTTGAGAAAATTTCTTGCACAGTTCTGGATTAGTACTACCAAATATAATATCATCAACATATATTTGTACTAACAGAATATGATTAGCAACAGAGATTTGAAATAGAGTTTTGTCAACCTTTCCTTTAGTAAACCCATGGTTCACTAGGAAAAGGGACAATGTGTCATACCAGGCTCTGGGAGCTTGCTTGAGACCATAGAGGTCGTCTGTATTCTAAAATAAAGGAGTTAGAGGATATTCTTGCTAAGAGAGGTAATCTGAACAAACTGTTTTTGTGTTAAATAATAAACCAAATGAGACTAAATTTTATAATCCTAAAGATGGACTAGTCTTTCAAAACCTAGGTAACCTAAAGAAAGTTATCTGCAAGCAATTTAATGACATTAGATACATGAAGTTAGAGTTAGCCAATTTAATGTTGTTTACTAGTGCTTCCGAAATTAATGAGGAAGAAGAGGACAAATGGAAAAATAGAGCTAAAGTTGAAATTAGTTTTGGTTATACTGCTCTCAATAACAATTATGTTACTAGACAAATTCCTTTGTCAGATGACTATATTACCTTGTTCCCTCCTGAAAATCAAATTGTGCCTAGTGAGGAAGAAGCATCCACTTCAAAGTTTTCTGAACCATATTTCCCTGCTATAATCAAGAAAATGGCTGATCTCTATTGTTCTTTTGAAGAAGAACAAGAAAAGTTTAAAACTGAAAAGGAAGATCTTTTAAAGAAAATTTCTGAATAAACTAGTCAATCCTCTCGAGGCTCGAAAACCCCTATCAATTCCCTTTATGGAGAGAATAAAAAGAAAAATCATTTTTATAAGAAAAAAGACTCATCTTCTTCTCCAACCCCCCATACAGGAAAATCTTTTTCTAATCACCATGCAGAAAGGATGGCCTGTATTCTAAAGAATGCTGCAAGCAAGGAGACAAAATTTGAGCAACCCAAGAAGATTTCTAAAATCTTTAATTTTGTTGAAAAGTCTTGTAATAGTTTTAGAAATTGTTTTCGTTCTAGTTCATTAGCTAGCTCCTCTAGTTATATTTCACACAGTTCTCCTAAGTTTCCTCCTTCTCATTCTAGATCTGTTGAATGTAATTCTTGTGATGATTTTAAGTTTGATAATTTAGATTCTCCTTTTCTAAATGTGATATGAGTGAGAGAGTGATGTGAATATTGATAATGATTGTGTTACTTCTCTACTTGTAAAGATTATCCTTTGAAAGTTTATTCAATCAAACATCTTAAGAGATTAGCAAGAGAGAAAATTTTCACAAGTGTTAAAAATAATCACTCATCTTTCCGGAACAATTCAGAACATATTCCAATAATCAAGCAAGCATGAGTTCCTAAAAATAAACTTAATAAAACTGCATTAAATATTTCTTCAAATAAAGATGACAAACCCATCCTTAAATGGGTACCTAAGGTTCCTTAATTTTTGCAGGTCAATCATGTGTGGTATGTTGATTCTGGTTGCTCCATGCACATGACTGAAAAGAAAGAGCTGTTGAGATACTACATCGACAAGTTCGGTGAGAAAATGAGATTTGGAAATAGCAGTTGAAGCAAATAGGTCACTTTATTGTCTAACCCTATACGGGTCATATTTTTGGAAAATAGAACTCTAATAGTCTTATTTGGCCATTATTTCCTTATTTTTCTATACTATTTCTTTCATTTAGAAACTTAAAACAAGTTTTTACCCGTTCTTGTTGGACAAATCATACTTGACAAAGTATTTTTTGAAGGGTTATGCAATTAGCTATTTTGGTACTCCCTTCGTCCCAAAATGAATTCAGAGTCACTATTCATATGATCAACTTAAATTACTCTTAAACTTATGTTTTATATATCAAATTTTTACCAAATTTATATTTTTTATTAGCATTTGTAGCGGTTTTAACGTAGTTTCACGACATGTAAATTCATTTTTGGAGGAGGCAGTATTTTTTTATTAGAAATGAAAGATGAAGTAGGTTCTCCTTTCTGATTTTGGGTTGGTTCGCTTCCTGGCCCTGCTCATTTGCCAGTCTCATTCATCGTGATCTTCGGACAGCGCGGTCGGCGCCTTCACTCCTCCTCCACCCATCTGCTTGTTCAGTTTGCTTTGGAGCTCCACAGTTCTACATTAGTGGTACATATACATATAGCATTATAATTCCATTTTTATGGTAATTCAGATGCTTTCTAAATATACCGCGAGAAATGTTACTTAAACACTGTATACATTCGATTAATTCGAGCAGAGTATGCTGCTACGATTTTGGCGCCTCTTATTCTGGTCGTTATTGCTTTGCATTCGGTTGATCAGCAGATCAGTGGTATCTCTCCCTTCCAGAGATTTCCTTGGAATCTCTCCTCAAGGTCTGCTTCTCAGGCTCCATTTCCATCTATTTATTTGTATGATTTGTTGAGTTCTTATAATATGTATTTTGTGTTCAGATGAGAAGTACTACAGTGGATTGTCATCCGGAGCTGCCATAAAATGCAAAAACGGATCTAATAAATTCAGTGTGGCTCAGCTCAATGATGATTTCTGTGACTGTCCTGATGGCTCCGATGAGCCAGGTCTTCCTCTTCCCTATATCCCTTTATAATTTATGCGTTTGTTGGTATGTATGTGTGTCATTGAAACTTTTGGAATTGTTGCATTTAGTTTTTGGTCGTTTTTGGTTATTTAATGTTTACTTGGGGTTGAGTTTCACCTAAGATAGTTTAAAATTTTGAAAAGAAAAAAATAGATTCGCCTGAGTAAAGATCTTGAAAAATTGTTTGGGTAATAACAGTTCTACCTACCTGAGGAAATTCTTATTTAGTTTTGTTTGGGTTGAGGTGAATTAATAAAGCATAACATGAAACATTCATCCTGATTATACCACATGTTGGGGAACAAAAACAGAAGTGAATCAATGTGAGTTAGATGGATGATTCACCTCATGCAGCATAGGTAAATAAAATAAAGCGAGTTTCCAAACAGCGTGAATCTAATTGTTATTCATAGATTTATGTAGGTTCATCTCAATCCATGCGTAGTGAGAATCAAGAACTATATTTTGTGGTGTTAGAGTTCTGACTGATTTTGGAGGACGTTTGTGCAGGAACCTCAGCATGCCCCAGTGGCAAGTTCTATTGCCGAAATGCTGGACATACACCCCTCCTTATATATTCATCAAGGGTTAACGATGGTATCTGTGGTATGCATAATTTTTTGTCACTGCTGCTCATTCATCAAGGGTTAACGATGGCAAGATCTGATTTCATATATCGATTTATGTTAGCCGATCCCAAACTCTTTTGGGACTAAGGCTTGGATGTTGTTATTTGTTGCTGCTGCTGCTCATTAGCTTCTCTTGAAACAGTGAAGTGCCTAACTGGGGTATTATGTGAATGTATTAGTCATTGGGTCGGGACTACACATATACTCTATGCAATTGTACACTTTGTTTCTTACCATTATTTATCAGCCACTTACGCCAGCAGCGTTACTTCAAGAACAAGAATCAAAATTGTTATCAATGTCTACTCACAAGACAAGATGTAAGATAGGGGACACCAATCTTGTGGATTGTTTAATGATAGATATGGGTTAATGAAATAAAACCCACTAATTGTTCATTTATTTACGGGCTATGATACGTGGAAACTAGTATGTCTAAATCTAAATAGTTAAATCGCTACTTGGCGGCAACTCGGTTGAGGGCTGTGTAACGAGTAGGACCGAGTTGTCTGGATTACTGGTGATTACTCGGATTTATGTTTCTCCTTCCGTCCCGGTGGACATTGCCTGTTGCGGTTTACGGTGATTGATAATAATTATAATCTCTTCCGGTATAAATTATTATTATTATTATTGTTCTTATTATTCTTATTATTTAAAATTTAGACATTTAGAAACTACACTACAAGTCATATTGAAACACAAAAATAAAATCTGAATTCAATAAAAAAAATAATTCTCAAAACTAAAGAATAAAAAGTAATACTCCTGACCATATGAACAGTAAACCGGCAAAGTCTTGCGGGATGGAGGGAGTAATATTTTATTAGAGTAACTAAATAAATTAAAATTGTGTGCATTTGATGGAGGAAGGGGATGATAAGATTTGAATCCATGATCCTACCTTGAGAGGGTGTAGCTCCTCACCAAGCTACACCCTGAACCTCAAGTAAATATCATCCCTTACTTGTTCAGTAGTCAGTACACTGTAGTCAATTATGTATGCATACCATATTAGCTCTAAAAATATGTCATTATGGTGAAAAACTTTGCTAAGCTACCCAGTTCGGCTCCTTCATTCATGAGTAAGTATTAGTGTCCTCGCCCTAGAGGCCATGAGTTAGAGGCGTGGTTGAGATGTAAAAGAAAAAGATTTGAAGTCAATAAAGATGAAGAATTTCCCGCCGTAACTCCAAGGAATAACTTTTAACTCCATATTGATGATCTTTATAATAGCTCATCTTTTTTAACTTTATTTTCTTTCTTTTCCTTTTGGTGGTGATATCATGTATCGATTCATGTTAGCCGACCCCAATATATTTTGGGACTAAGGCTTGAATGTTGTTGTTGTTGTATTGATGATCTTATTAATGAACACAGGCCACAACACATCTATTTATACTAGTTCTAGGGCTTGGTGACCCGGTACTAAGAAAAGTAAAATAATGTGGTTGATATTGAATTGATAAAGTGTGAAAAATTAAGAATGAATTAGAACATACAAGCATTATCAAATATTGTATGTGACAAACTTAGTGGGGCGGACAAAAAAAGAAAAATGGGACAAAGACAGTGACACGGATGAAGTACAATACAACCACTAGGAGTAATGATTTAAATAAAATACCTATACTAATAGGAAATAATACTAGTAATAAATAATAATTATAAGAAACTAATACTAACAAAGGGAACTGATAATTAATAATAAAAACAAAGGGAACTACTACTACTACTACTAATAATAATAATAAATTAATAATAATAAGATAACAGCAATTTTAATAATAATAGTAGGAACTAGGAAGCCTCCTTCCACAACACTTCTCCATGTTCCTTTCAAGCAATCGAGCGGCACTGTCATGACACATGAGTAGCTGGTTCAATATATTCATTTTAAATAGACACCTAACAATGAGCAATCAGCAACTGTGTAATATTCATAGGGTGCAATTTACTGATCTGCAGTAGTAGGAAGTGCCTCCAATTATCCTATCTCATTTTCTTTTAAGTTGTAAGTTTTCAATTACAAAGTCTGCAACAACTATAGTTAACTTACAACTTCGTTTTCTAGGCCGAATTTTATGACCTTCGGAACTTCGCATGAATTAATATGCATTTGTATCCTCTTCTGGTTATCATTAAGCACTTGCAAAGTTGAAAAAACTTATATTATGATTATTGATTACTATGGTGTACTCTCATGGTCTCATGCTAACTATTGAAGTAATGTAATCTCAACCAACATTAGTGATGTGGTTCATACCTCAAGTCTGAGAGCTGAGACTTAACTAAGAACTTACTTTTGACATTTCAATTGACACTCATGAGCAGATTGCTGTGATGGGAGTGATGAGTATGCTGGCAAAACAAAGTGCCCAAATATGTGCTGGGAGGCTGGCAAGGAGGCTAGAGATAGGTTAAAGAAAAGAATCACAATATATCAGAAAGGTGCTATTATAAGGAAGTCGGAAGTTGAAAAGGCAAAACTGGAAATTTTGAAGGAGGAAGCAGAATTGGTGAAACTAACAAAAGAGGAGAAGATACTTAAAGAAATAGTTGAGCAATTGAGGGGTAAAGCTCTGTATGTTTAAGTCAAAATATATAATAAGCCACTCAATATATGTAGCACCGTTTGGTGTCAAGTGAGGTCCATTGATCATACTGGTACCAGACTATTCACAGTTTCTACGGAGTACTGACATTAGTTTATTTCCTTTTATCAAGAGCACAAGGAACAAGTAGAAAAGGCCGAAGAAAAAGAGCGATTGCAAAGAGAGAAGGAAGAGAAAAAAAAGAGAGAAACTGAAGAAGCTAAGTTGGAGGATACCGAAATTGAGAAAAACCGTGAGGAAGCTGTAAACATGAAAGATGGCCTCCGGGAAGATATTCCCTCAGAGAAAGCTCCTTCTGTAGAGGTTGCATTTACTTGTTATTTCAGCACAACCACTCTCGCCCTGTTCCCACATTGTTTTCTCATTTTCTATCTCGGGATTTCCCATCAAGTCATTAACTTTCTACAAAAACTCAGAAAGTACTAATTACACATTCTTCCTAATGCGCCCTGGCGCCCTTCTATTTTAAGTGACAAGAGACTAGTGTACGAATAACAACTAAATATGTTTTTTTTTAACCCGGAATTTGTCCCACCAAAATCAGTGGGACAAATGCCGGTGAACATTTGCCAAGGAATTCTTAAAGTAAATTGAACAACTAAAGATGCTAATATGATATTATTATACATTATAATAGCACTAATCTACAAGCTTTAGTCCCCCCATCGTACATTATTTATCCAGCAATGTATGAATAACATTATTTATCCACCCTAATATGCTAGTTTCATACATTACATGCTTCTACTTTCTATTAGAATGCGGTAGAAGATTATAGCAGTAAAGTGGAGAAAGCTGACAATATTGACACTTCAATAATGGAAGAAACCTCCTGCGATGAAGCTGAGAAGGTGGTAGAGGACTCACACAAGGTGTTTTTGGTTATCTTGACAACTCTGAAGAGCAATGTCATCATAATTCATCAGAATTAATCGCTCAACATGTGTTTCATCTTGTACAGCATGCCGTGATGGAGGAGTTGTTTGCAGATGATGATGGATCTGTTCTTAAAAGCACCAATGAGGTAAATGGCTAAATGGACTTCACTCCTTTATTATAGAACTTGTACAGACTACAGAACCTTGTATCACTTCAGGTTGTATATTACTATATTTGTATGAATCTCCACCTTGGGGTTTGCATCTCCATCAATTTTTTTCAGGCTTTTATATCATTTATCAGTTTATGTACATATCAAGTTTGTACATGTTTTGAAACCTTAGTGCAACTGAATGTTCTATGAAAACGTGTATGATTACTTTATAGTTCATAGTTTCCTAATGACATTTTTACTGGTTTATGCTTCAATATTGATAATTCTAGGTGAAAGATGAAGCTGAAGATACTGAATCCTTGTCAAAGGAAGACTTGGGCCGTGTAGTTGGTTCTCGTTGGACAGGAAAAAAGAATGAGAAGGAATCTGGAGAGGACAAGACTAATAAAGATTATCATGGTGACCATGATGAAGAATACAAAACATTTGACTCAGATGATGATGATGATACTGAAGACCAAATGGATGAAATTGGCGAGGAAGATCACAGCGATTCAAATTCACCCCCTTTATTATCTGATGATGAAGCTGAAGATCAAGGGGATGATTTTGTAGGGGAAGATCATGATTCAAGTTCTCCATCTTCATCATCATCAGACGACGACGACTTGGATTTATCAGGTGCTTGAGACATTTATTCTTTGATCACTCCACCCAAAAATGTGCTGTGCATGCATTAGTTCTAATTGACAGTAAATTTTCCCAGATACAGCTAGCACAAGCAATCCACATTGGCTGGAGAAGATAAAAAGAAATGCTCAGAGAATTCTTCAGACTTTCAATTTGTTTCAAACTCCAGTAGACATAACTGGTACCATTTCAATATCAATGCACTTTTTTTCTTTCAAAAGGCAATTGTTAGGTACTCATGTTTTGAACTTCAATCTGCAGAGGCTGCACGCATACACAAAGAATATGATGATTCAAGTGCTAAGTTGTCAAAGCTTCAGTCGAGGATATCTAAATTGACAAAGAAATTGAAACATGATTTCGGTATGTTTCAAGAAATTTACTAGACATTATACAATAGGCATGGCCAAGGCTCCTTAAAATTTGAATTTGGGGTTGGCTGGGAAAATTATTTACTCATTTAAATTTTTGTAGCAAACTTTTACACAATATATATATATATATATATATAGAGAGAGAAAAGATCAGGTAAGAAGTTCCCCTTAAAATGAGAAGTGAGAAGCAATCTCAGCCCTTGTATTTGCATCTAATCTTACAACGCAGTAAACGTATAGACTGAATATAGGAACTTATAACCAATAAATCATAACTTATAAAGCTCTCCATCATAATTACGAAAATGCCACCGCGTCCAAAAATTTTCAAGGTTTCCAAGCTTATTTTTTTGCGGTGGCATTTTCGTAATTATTTTCGACGGGGTCTATAAGTTATGGTTTATTGGTTAAAAGTTCGTGTTTTTAGTCTATTAGGATGTTTTTACTTGGACTGTAATTTGCTGGTCTGGTTTGGTCTGTTTTGGTCTGGTCTGGTCTGTTTTGGTCTGGTCTAGTCTGGTCTCAAATTTTATTTTTATATTTTTTGCATAAAGATTTTATTTTTTATATATATTATAATCCATAAATAATTATGTTTTATTCATTTATAATTACAAATAATAATAACAATAACAATAACAATAATAATACTAATAATAATAATAATAATAATAATAATAATAATAATAATTAGGGGTGTGCACTATCCGGTTTAAACCACAAAACCGGACCGAACCAGACCGGAAAAACTGGAACCGGATCGAACCGGAATGATATCCGGTCCGGTTCGGTCCGGTCCGGTCCGGTTTTGAACCGGTGCACACCCCTAATAATAATAATAATAATAATAATTAGGGGTGTGCACTAGCCAGTTTAAACCGGAAAACCGGACTGAACCGGACCGGAAAAACCGGAACCGGATCAAACCAGAATGATATCCGGTCCAGTTCGGTACGGTCCGGTCCGGGTTTGAACCACTGCACACCCCTAATAATAATAATAATAATAATAATAATAATAATAATAATAATAATAATTAGGGGTGTGCACTATCCGGTTTAAACCGGAAAACCGAACCGAACCGGACCGGAAAACCGGAACCGGATCGAACCGGAATAATATCCGGTCCGGTTCGGTCCGGTCCGGTTTTGAAGCGGTGCACACCCCTAATAATAATAATAATAATAATAATAATAATAATAAAATATGGTCTGGTCTGGTCTGGTCTGTTTTAGTCTGGTCTGTTTTGGTCTGGTCTAGTCTGGTCTGGTCTGGGACGAATTACAGTCCAAGTAAAAACAACCTTAGTTAAACTTCACATTTCTCAGCCTAATAGCACTTCTCACCTGATCCACTCCCTATATATATATATATATATATATATATATATATATATATATATATATATATATATATAGTTTATAAGGTATGCCAGGGCCTTGGATAAAATTTTGCTGAGGGAGAGCTACTTTGCCTTGTTTTCTTTTCAAAAATATTATGTTCAAATCCTGATGGTCAGTTTTCTGTTACAGGGCCACAGAAGGAGTTCTATTCATTCCATGGTCAATGTTTTGAAATCAAGAAAAACAAGTTAACTACTTCTCGATGCAGCCGTTATTTAACTATTAATTTGCTTTTCTGCTCTCTACGTTAGCTGTTCCGATTGACTGTTGTTTGTTCAGGTACACATATAATATTTGCCCTTTCAAAAAGGCTACACAAGTTGAGGGCCATAGCACAAGTCATCTAGGGTAGGGATTCTTATGTCTTTATGGTATACATTCTAAGACTATAGGGTTCAGATTGTCTTTTTATAAACTGATGAAATTTAGAAGCTACAATTGTCTTTTTATTTCTCTTGTCCTGTAACTAATTTTCTTATTTACTCGTGATCTGTCATTTAAGGAATTGGGATAAATTTGAGGACTCATACAGAACTATGATATTTACAAATGGAGATCATTGCTGGAATGGACCAGATAGGAGTATAAAGGTAATAATCTTCACCTTGTGGTGTCTAATCCCATGTTTCTTAATTTTCATGTGGAGTTTGTATACTGCGCTTCTTGTGGAGTTTTTCTAGATTCAATCAACACACACCGACCAAGTTAAGGGGCTGGTAAAGCATCAACTGGTTTGATGTGTCATTTTGACTAAAAAGAAATAACATTAAAGCATAAGCCAAGATTTGTTCAAAAACAGACAAGACTACAAAAGAACAGAAAAAGTAAAACCAGTCACGGTTCAAACTGTGTGCCAGTAGCATCTCTTCTGTTTTTTACTTATCTATGATGAAGTATATCCTATATTTATTTCTTTTATTAATTTTTTGAAATGATGAAATGATTACATCCATCCATCCACATCATGTATTTTTATACTGATGTACGTGTAATATTATGTTACCGACCAGTTTTATGGTCGGACATACAAAAGAAGGGGTCAAAGAGGAATAGATGAAGTTAACGGGAAAAGTGGCTAAGGAAAAAGGCCCAACAAGCAGAAGATTTCTAATAGTATTAGTATTCCTCCATTATATTTCTTTTAGAATAGCAATCTAGCTTCCTATTATTTTTAGGAAACTCTTATTGTCTATATAAGGGGTTCTCAGTTAAATTAATAAAACAGTTTTGGAGAGAATTAGCTCTGGGATTTCTTGACAAGGTCAGAAATCAGATTAAGTTCTTTCAAGCTTTCTTAATTTTATCTCTCTCATAATTTAATTAAAAATAGAATCAGAATCATACATGCCTTTCACCTCTCGATCGGTCAAGGGCTCTCGCTCCAGGCCTTGGACAAGGTCACTTACACGTGCCCTTAACAACTTGTTATCAGTTTCTGGGACGATGGGGACCGATTCTACTGCCGCTGATTCCCTGAAATCCATGCTTGAGAACGTCGACCAACACCAATTGGCGGTTGAACAGCAACTGGCAGATTTGCAGGCATCTATGGCGACACTGCTCACCCTGCCTGCAGCCATGGAAGCTTTATCTACAACTGTGCAGCGCTTAACAGGGGACTCATCCTCCAGTTCTTCCCAGTCCGATCGCAGAAGAGAAGTAGAGAACCCGACTCTCGACGCCATGATCACGACGACCCCTTGATTCCTAGGTTCTCCAAGATCGAGTGTCCGCAGTACGATGGGAAAAGTGACCCTCTGTCATGGCTCAAGCGTTGTGAAAGCTTTTTTATTCAACAACGTACCCCAGCTCAATCTCGGGTCGGTCTCGCGACATTCCATATGATTGGAACAGCTCAGCTTTGGGCTAATCAGTTGGATACCGGCGCTTCCCCAATTTCTTTGATTGAATTCTACACCAGATGTACGAAGCGTTTTGGACCGCCAAGTAGCGCCAATCCAGAAGGAGAACTTGCCAAATTACGCCAGACAGGCGACCTCGAGTTGTATATTGACACTTTCCAACACATATTGGCTCGCACAGTAGGGATTTCTGCCCGTATGCAGGTTAAATTTTTTACTGCCGGACTCCGCGAGGTTGTGCGCATGGAGGTTGAGTATCAGGACCCCCTAGACCTTGACTCAGCTATGATGCTTGCCCGGACTGTCGAGCGCAAATACAACCTGCCCACTCAGTCGCCTGACCTTCTGATACGTCCCCAATCTGCCCTCCGTTCAGGATCAGTACCTTCCCCTGCTGAATCAAACCCCAGCCGACGCAGCTCAATCCCAAATTTCAAGAAAATTTCTCGCGCTGAGGCTGCCATCCGCAGGGAAAAAGGCCTTTGTTATAACTGTGATGATCCTTGGGTTCGTGGCCATCAATGCAAGCGGCTATTCTTCATTGAAATTATAGACGAGGACCCGTCTGAAGAACAGTTTAAGCCAGCTCTCTCTCTTCATGCCATGACTGGAATCGGGTCCACTTCCACAATGAAATTAGCAGCAGCTCTTCATGACAAACCCATCACTGTCCTGGTAGACTCAGGCAGTACTCATAATTTTGTCCATCAAAGATTGATTCCAGAAAATATCCACTCAATCCATCACAGATCTAATCTCCATGTTCTCGTGGCTAATGGGGATCGAGTGCCAATCGTGGGAACATGTCCTTGCCTTGACTTCGTGGTGGACGGACACACCTTTACTGCAGACTTTTATGTACTCCCATTGGCCGGGTTTGACATGATACTAGGCGTTCATTGGCTTCAACGCCTCAGCTCGATTGAATGGGATTTTTCACGTCTATTAATGCGATTCGTTTGGAAGGGCACTCCAGTAGAATGGCATGGTCATGCTCGACTCCCAACGCTTCATGCTCACATGATCACAACCACATCCACTAGAATGGAGAGTCTCCTGGACCAGTTTGAGGACATCTTCAGGTTGCCTTCCGGACTGCCACCTCCACGCGCTTGTGACCATAAGATCACTTTGCTGGCAGGGACTAGCCCGGTGGTTGTGCGTCCTTACCGTTACCCCTATTTTCAGAAGGACGAGATTGAGAGGCAATGTACAGAGATGCTTCAACAAGGTATCATCCGCCCGAGCCGATCTCCCTTTTCCTCACCCGTCCTTTTGGTTAAGAAGGCTGAGGGTACATAGCGGTTTTGTGTGGACTACAGAGCACTCAATTCTAAGACCATTAAAGACAAATTTCCAATTCCTGTCATCGAGGAGCTGTTGGACGAACTCCATGGGTCCAAAATTTTCACAAAACTTGACCTACGCTCAGGATACCACCAGATTCGCATGGCAGAAGATGACATTGAAAAGACAGCTTTTCGGACTCATCATGGCCACTTTGAATTTTTAGTCATGCCGTTTGGGCTCACAAATGCACCATCCACGTTTCAAAGCTTGATGAACGACATCTTTGCACCATACCTTCGTGAGTTTGTCCTCGTCTTCTTTGATGACATACTAATTTACAGTAAGTCGTGGGTCGAACATGTCTATCATGTCCATCTTGTCTTGGAAATATTGCGCACCAATGGTCTCTCCTTAAAAAAATCCAAATGCAGTTTTGGCGCTCCACAGGTGCAATATCTCGGTCATATTATCCATAGCCATGGCGTCGAGGTTGATCCCGCCAAAATTCAGGCCATAACCGACTGGCCCACACCGCGTTCTGTGACAGCTTTACGGGGATTTTTAGGGCTGGCTGGTTATTATCGAAAATTTATCCACCATTATGGTGAGATTGCTGGGCCGCTCACACAATTATTGAAAAAGACTGCCTTTCACTGGAACGACGCAGCAGAACGAGCATTCACTGACCTCAAAGTGCGTCTCTCTTGGCCCCCAGTACTCCAGTTACCTAATTTTGGTAAAGAGTTTGTAGTTGAATGTTATGCATCTGGGACGGGTTTTGGGACAGTTTTACAACAGGAGGGACATCCGATTGCATATTTCAGTCGTAAAATTGCGGATCGCCACATTAAACTTGCTGCCTATGAACGTGAACTGTTCAGGTTGGCTAAAGCTGTCACACACTGGAGGCCATATTTATGGGGCTCTGAATTCCTTATTCGGACTGATCATTCCAGTCTGAAGCATTTATTAGATCAGCGGCTAACTACGTCTCCACAGCAACATTGGCTGAGTAAATTAATGGGATTTAATTTCCGGGTTGAATACAAACCAGGCCGTTTTAATACCGTGGCAGATGCCTTGTCCCGGCAACATGAAGAAACTATTGAGCTGTCTGCACTCACTGTTCCTTTTAATGCTCTTCTTAGTGAAATACGGTCTGAACAAGCAGCCTCCCCAATTCTGGCAACTATACTTCAACAAATCACATACAGACATCGCAAACCTGATTGGGAAATTCGAGACGGCTTGGTCTATTTTCGCTTCAAACTATTTGTTAGACACGTTTGATGTCATTCCGACTTTACTCTCCATATTTCATAACATGGCTCATGAAGGAGTCGAGAAGACTCTTCAACGGCTCCGAAGAGAGTTGTAATGGACCGGTATGAAGGCAACGGTGACCAACTTTGTCAGGGACTGCCAGACGTGCCAGAAGCACAAATGGCTGACATTACAACCTACCGGCTTATTACAACCGCTTCTGATTCCGCATCACATTTGGGCTGATATTTCCATGGATTTTGTTGAAGGTTTACCCAAAGTGAGGGGAAAATCTGTCATTTTAGTTGTGGTGGACCGACTCTCTAAAGCAGCTCATTTTATTCCATTAGCTCACCTGTATACATCACTCTCTGTGGCCGGCATATTCTTTTCAGAAATATTTCGTCTTCATGGGCTACTGGAATCCATTGTCTCTGATCGCGACAAAATCTTTATGAGCACTTTTTGGCGTGAGCTATTCCGTTTATCCGACACGAAACTGGTTTACTCCTCGGCCTACCACCCACAGACCGATGGACAAACAGAGGTTGTCAATTGCACTGTTGGGTTGTTTTTACGCTGTATTACCAGCGATTACCCCAAGGAATGGGTTCGTTGGCTTCCCTGGATTGAGTATTGTTACAACACTTCCTACCATTCCTCTTTAGGGGACACACCATTTCGACTGGTTTATGGCAGGGACCCGCCCCGTATTGTATCCTACCTGCCTGGGACCTCCAAGGTTGAGGGGGTTGATAGGGAACTTGGGGATCGTGATGCCCTTCTCAAAAGCGCTCGGGACAGATTAGCTCAAGCGCAACAACACATGAAATCTCAGTTCGACAAATTCCATCGCGAACTCTCCTTTGAACCAGGTGCTTGGGTCTGGCTCCGATTGCAGCCATATCGCCAGCTCTCAGTGGGACGCGGGAATTCCAAGCTTTTGCAGAAATATTTTGGTCCATTTCAGGTTCTGGAGCGCATTGGTCAGACTGCCTACAAGCTCCTATTGCCAGCCAATGCTCGTATCCATAATGTTTTCCATGTCTCTCTTCTCAAGCCGCACCAGGGACCTCTTCCGGATACCATGGGCAGTCTTCCTCCCGAACCTAGCAACAATGACAAAGCAACTCCCCAGGCCATTCTTCGCAGCCGTTTGTTAAATGGCAGCTGGGAGCTCTTGGTTCAGTGGCCAGGGCAGCACTTAGATGAGGCAACATGGGAGTCACTCCGGTCCTTTCAGACACAATTCCCTGAATTCAAGCTTGAGGACAAGCTCTTTCTCAAGGAGGGGAGTGATGTTACCGACCAGTTTTATGGTCGGACATACAAAAGAAGAGGTCAAAGAGGAATAGATGAAGTTAACGGGAAAAGTGGCTAAGGAAAAAGGTCCAACAAGCAGAAGATTTCTAATAGTATTAATATTACTATTTAATATGTATCAGTCCTACTTGGAATAGTCTTCCTCCATTATATTTCTTTTAGAGTAGCAATCTAGCTTCCTATTAAATTAATAAAACAGTTTTGGAGAGAATTAGCTCTGGGATTTCTTGACAAGGTCGGAAATCAGATTAAGTTCTTTCCAGCTTTCTTAATTTTTATCTCTCTCATAATTTAATTAAAAATAGAGTCAGAATCATACGTGCCTTTCACCTCTCGATTGGTCAAGGGCTCTCGCTCCAGGCCTTGGAACACGGTCACTTACACGTGCCCTTAACATATTAACACAAGCAACTCTGCTTGTCATCATCCTAAAAGTACTATGCAAGAGTTTCCCCCCTTCAAAATTCACTTCCTATACAGCTATACTGCCGTGCATTTTTGTTATCATGCAGGTCAAACTTAGATGTGGTTTGAAACATGAGGTAACTGAGGTAGATGAGCCCAGCCGGTGCGAGTAAGATTCTTAAACTCTCATCTTCTTCGGTTCTTCCTTGTATTTTCACGTTGTGAACTAAAAATGTATCTTCACATGCATTTGCACATTGAGAACTTTAACCATTGGATTGTACTCTTGATGTAGGCAAGTAGGTTTAGTCTTTCAGTAACACAATGTATATACTTCCTCTGTTCCATAAAAGTTGCAACATTGGAATATCTGCACTATTCACACACCTTACTTTGACTACGATTTTCTAATAATATATATAATAAAAATATTATGTATAAAATATTAATAAATTTGTATTAGTGTAAATTTCCAATATATTGACTTTTTTTAATGTTTACTAATACGTAAATAAATATAATTACAGTCAAAGTTGCGTGTTGGCAAACGTGAAAGTCAAACTGTTGCAACTTTTATGGAACGGAGGATAGTATTTAGTATACTGACGTGATGGCTCTAGTTCCCGTTGTTAGGGATCCATTAGGTATGAATAGGACTAAAATCATCACCTCAAATTACTGAGACTAAATTTACACCACACAACCAGGGTATTTTAAAACTCGAAATTGTCGTGTCCCCCCTTTAGGAGTACCCTTTTTAAGAAAAAAATCTAACCCCGTGTTTGTGGAACAGATATCTTGCATTTTTATCTACACCAGCTGTCTGTGTAGAAGAAAAGCTGAAGGTAATTATTTTGGCCTAAAGTAAAAGATGGCCTGTTATTTACCTCTTCTTTATTTTGAGTGTTTTTCATATTGGTTTATACAATGATCTGTCTAGCAAATGTGAAACATATATGCACTGACTCCTAATATTGTGTTAAAATGATGCCAATGTGGTAGGAACTCGAAGTTAAACTGAAGATGCTGAACAGTGAGCTACCACAAGGTCATGATGAGCTGTGAAAGATATGTTTGTTATTTTTGTCTTCCCATTTTTTATGACTCTGAAAAGCTAAAAGCTACAAGGTCTGACTAACGCTTGAGGTGAGGAAAAATATAAACCAAGAAAATAGAGATTTGGTTTAGATTTCTGTTCCTGACTCATAAGGGTTGTAACTATCTAGAGGAGGAAAGGAAAAATAGCCTAAAGACAGAAGGTTAGAGAATATCAGGTTTATGAATATCAAGAACGTAGCAAAAACTACACATAATCACATATGAGCAATAAGCCAATAAGTAAAAATATGCTCGGTTGATACCCAAATCTTTTACATTATTATATCCGGTTGTACTATTATGAAACATTGACACCCGGTTTATGAACCTATATATATACCTTTCTGGTATATGATTATGCATATATGCAACATTCATTGTGCTGAATATTTGTATGTTTAATGACTCGTGAAAAGAATTCTTTTAATTGCTCTGCAATTACTTTAGTCAAATTACTCAACTACTTGCGTGTTAAAAATGTTAGACATCTAATGGACTAATACTTCTGCCAAATATAACTCTAAAAAATATGTAATCACACTAGAAACCAGTTCCATTTGAATTAATATGATTTTCTTTTGAGAATTTTCGAAATAGGAGTAAAAATGTTTGCGAATTCTAAAATGAGGCTGTTATATTTTTATTCCCTAGATAAGAGTAATTATTGTTAAACATTCAAGTTTGGAAAATGATGTCATATTTAAATTTTAAAGTCCGGTAATCCCAAAAGTGACATTAATTACTCATTTAGGGGATAAAAACATGATAGTTTTATTTTGAAACTCACAACGTTTTTACACCTATTTAGGTATTTGTTTTAACAATTTCTATATAAGGAGAAAAGGAAAGTTTTATAGAACTTCATTCAATTGACTATTGACACATTCCTCTATATAAGTAATAAATACTACATCCGTCCCAAAAAACTTTACCATTTTAAAAACTTTGACCGGCTATATCTTTTTATTGAAAAAAATTTATAATATAAAAATTATAAAAAAATGTTCTTTGTTAATAGTACTTTCATAAAAATATAAAATTTATAATTTCCATAATATGATACTACATCCGTCCTGAAATTATCTCCTTATTTGACTGGGCACGTGTTTTAAGATAGTTGGAAATGTGTGGTGGAGAGTTGTGCAGAGGAAAGAGAAATGTGTAAGAATGGTTGTGAACCACAAATTCTTTGACAAAAAAGTAAAGAGAAGATAAATTTGGGACGAACAAAAAAGGAAAGAACGAAGATAATTCCTGGACGGAGGGAGTACTAATCAAAATCTATTTTCAATTTTTTTGAAATGGCAAAGTTTTTTGGGATGGAGGTAGTATGTTTTTTTGTAGGAAAATCAAATCAACTACTATTAATCAAATCAAAGTTCAATACACTAGTAATAAAATAAGAAGGTACTGATGACCAAATTTGTCAATCAGTCATAGAACTCGCTACTCTAGCCATGACATGAGCATCGCTACTCGTAGATTTTGTAATGGCTATGTTTGGTAAATGGCTGTTAGTTGTTGCTGTCAGCTGGTTGTGTCAGATGTTTTCTAACAGCTGGTTGTGTTAGTTGTTTTGACCGACTGATTATGTTAGCTGATTTCCTGATTATAAATAATTGTTTGTTAAAATTGGTTGTTTCAAAATGGCTTTTCCTACCAGCCATTTTTTCAGCTTTTCGGACTCAAAAAGTCAATCTAAAAAGCTATTTACCAAACATAAATATTGACTGCTTTGACTACTGAAACAACTAAATTTGGTCAAACAAGCTAAAAGTTGTTGATAACCATTTGCCAAACATACCTAATATGAAAAAATGTATTCAATTATCTAGTATCTTTAGCTAAAATCTAATAGAGTTTTGTTTAAATAAAAAAAAACTATTGACGTATTCTACAAAGATTCCATCTTTATACGAAGTATGAAGTACTCCATCCGTCCCATAAAATAAGTCCCATTTCAATTTGGATCAGAGTTTATGAAAGTGAGAATAAAGTGAAAATGTATGGTTGTAGTTGAGTAAGAAAAAGGTAAATGAATGTCAGCCACACGAAACTTTCCAAAAAGGGAAATGAGAACAATTTTTTGGGACGACCCAAAAAGGAAAATGGGACTTATTTTATGGGACGGAGGGAGTATATCATTTTTAGGCCATCCCATTTACTTTATCACCGAGCCCGTTTAATTATTTGTTGTTGAAAATAGGATGACGTATACAATAATAACATTGTATAGTTTAATATAATAAAATGGTTTGGTTTATCTTTATTCTCTTTAATAAAATAAAGAAAAAGAGGATTTTTCAAAAAATAAGTAAAACGTATTACAAAAATTTGAATAAAAGTAATTATAGTACATGTTACTTAAAGTGTAAAAATTGAACATAAATATATGATTAAAGTTATTATTATGATCATTGCACTTAAAATGTTACTCCCTCCGCCCCGTTAAGATTGTCTCATTTTACCTTTTCGGAAAATCTCATTAAGATGGTTTCATACCATATTTGGTAAAGTTTGTGTGACTCTTAATCATTCTTACTTTATTAATTCAATATCAACCACACAAATCATTTTTCTTAATAACCGTGCCACCATCCGTCCCAATGTTAGTGGGACGGAGGTAATACATTTTTATAAACAACTTTTATTATAGTCATAAATATGTATTTTTTTTTAAAAGCAAAGGCTTGACTTGAATAATCCCTTATCCCATATACTTAATAGCGATACAAATCAATCTTCACCGTTCATTTAGAAACGATCTTCATAGTTAACTTAAAAAAATCAGGCAGTTTTTCTTTGGGAAAATTTTACAAATAGGACACAAACATAAGAAATTTCTAAAATTAGGACTGCATTCATCCGTAGGACATAAGTACATGCGAATTGACCATTTTTACCTTGATTTTAAAACTCTGGCGCCACGTGTAACCACCCTGCGGCTAACAATTAAAACTTCCCGCAACCCAAAAATATTAAAACTTCCCGCACGCCAAAACTTCCCTGCGCCTTCACCTTCTTCAACCGCAACTCAACGGATAAATCACTTCTCCGATCTTCCACCTTCTCCTTCATAGAGCAACGCCAGACGATTACTACAGGCGACGAACGAGTCAGTAAAGACGAATAAATGGCGAAGGGAAAGAAGAAATCTGAGGCTGAAAACATTGAAAAACATGAAGAAGTTGAAGAAGGCCAATCAGACAGTGATTTCGAAACAAAGAGCCCTAACAAATCAAAGGCGCAAAACATTGAAAACGTTGAAATTGTTCTTCCGTCTGGTGAAGTAAGTTGTTCGATTCAATTTTGGGAGATCATGATGAAATATGCAACTAAAATTATCTACTTCTCTTATTGTCTACTTCTCATATGAAATTGTCAACAAATCTGTATAAGTTATTGAAAATCATTATATGACTACTTGTCGTACATGTTGTTATTGATATTTGACCAAATACAATTGTCCAGTTCCTATCCAAGTAGTCAGTAATAGATTTGGTCCTATTTGTATAATTTTTCATTGATTGTAGAAGTACTGACTACTTCTCTTACATATATCTTATTTTATTAAATAAGAAATGAATAAAAAAGGACAGAAAGGTAGATATGTGAAGAATTATATGACAGACAGTATATACATAAAATATTGTTAATCATGTTATTTGTTCACTAACAATTATAATACATATCCCTTGTTTTTGAAAGCTCTTCCAGCACCTTCCATTTGCAAAAAAGTTTGACATCCTTATTTTCCATTGCACCTTCTTCTTCATTATCACCTTCTTCTTCATCATCTTCTTCACCATCCTTCTCATCATCCTACAATCCATGTTAATTAAATAGACTCAAAGTTGTAATACTAATACGACCTCATGCATATTATTCAAAAATAAAATTAACACTTACCGTTTCTTCTAAAGGCTCATCGGTCAATACTAGTTCATTCAAAGAAGAATAATGGAAGAACCCAACAGCTTTTCAATTCAAAATGCTAGCTTGTTCAGATTTCACTTTTTCGCCGCATTTTCCTGCAAGTCCAGGGATTTTCTCATACGCCCAAACCTGTATAAACAACAGAAAAAATAGTTAATCAAATGTCAAGCCACAAACAACTTCAGATTTTCACATAGACGATTTTCTAAAGAGACAAACTTAGTTAAAACCACCCTGCAACACGTGCGGTAAAGACCAAACCGTGAACTTAGCATTCTTGTAGCCAGGATTCTTAGCTAACACAGCTTCAAACTTCTCTGGTTGACCACGTATCAACGACTTCAAATTGCTAACCATAAGGTTATAAGACTCGAGTGCGCAAGGATATTTTTGGAAGTTCTCAAAGTCTTCAACCCAATCAAAATGATCAGCATTGATCTTTGTGTCGTGGTCTCTAGTCAACAACACACCATCAACCACGAAAAGGGAAGTCAACTTCACAAAAGCTAACGTGTCAATCCTCTTCTTTGGATTGACTGCCTCTATTGCATCCTTCAACTCTTGGTACGACACACGCTTGTTTCCTTTAAAAAAGATATTTGCCACACTACCTTTCTCATTTTTTTTAACAAAAGTGGGTTTGATGGTGTACGCCGACAGGTTGATTATTTCACAGAAATCTTTAAACATGAACTTAAAAATCTTCCCTCTTATGGAAAACCATAGCTTATCCACAGGTTGTTGTCGAACCAGCCATAACAACAACATATGAACAATCTGCCCGGAAAGTTGGAATTCCGGAATCTTAGCAAAATGACCCCATGGAAGCTTCTTGAACACCTCCCGTTGACTGATGGACATGGAGTCCAACAAGTTTCTTAATTTTCCAAAATATGTGGCCTGAGAATATTGGGTTGGGAAATGGGACTTAACATTAACCAGTAATTGATGCTTCATCCTACGAAAAACACAAATGAAGTCATAATTTTTACACACTAATGACTTACACACAATTCTTACACACTAATGACTTCATCAAAGGAAGACAAACAACTCTTCACAAACTACGGACAAATCAAATCATTTTAAATACAGAAAACAAACTACGGACAAATCAAATCAAATCATATATAAATGGTATAACCTAAACCGTCTGGCCACAGACATTATCCATCGATCCCACAGACAAATTCAAAATTATACAATCCGACCATTAAAGTGTGCTTCTAACTTCATCAAACTCATATTTTCAAGTGTAAACTTTGAAATACAACCAGAACGATTTAAAAAAATAACAACAAACACAAACCACACATTAGGTGGTGAAGTCGAACAATACTACTCACAAATGTGTTCAAGAAGTTGATATTACCTTCTCTTTGAAGCCTCAGCCAAAGATGACGGTGACGTACATACCATTTCGCAGGTGGGTTCTTGAGGGTGGACGCCGGCTTTTGCACTCACGGAGATGCTTTCTGATGACCACGGTGTGTGCGAAAAGAGAAGGCTTCAGGGGATGGACGTGGAGAGGAGAAGAAGAAGAGAGCCGTCAGGGATATATGCGCAGAGAACCGGCGAGGAAGAAGGAAGTGGCGAGACGGGAGTTTTGGGAAAGGTTCGAACGTGGGGGAGAGAGGTGGGGAGAGATGGAAGTGGGAGGCCGGAGTTTTGGGAATATGGGTTCGCACGTGGGGGAGAGAGGTGTGGAGAGGGGTAAAAAATTTAATTTTGACCTTTTATATGGTATACAAATGGTGTACATCCAATGTACACTAAGCATTTTCGTTGCAAAAAATACCCTAGCATTTTGGCAGACTTATTCCGACTCAAATATGGACTATTTAGTTGGTTTTATTTGTCATGTCATGACATACCTTTTGTTTTTTCAGTTTGGCTATCACATTTAATTTTTAGTTGAATGTTACCTTTCTTTATTAGAGTTTGACTATTAGTTTTGTAGTTCAGTCATGTTTGATTTCAATTCTGCAGTCCCTTCCCTTTAATTTTTGTACAATTATTTATTAATGCTAAAGCCTAAAATAGTATTTACTTTGTGGGAGTTAATTATTTAGGAATCGAATAGTACCGAAGAACCGTACCGAACCGTACTAAAAATCGGTACCGAAAGGGACATGTTCTATACATATTCGCGCGGAACGGTACAAGTTCTTTGATTTTTAAAAGAACCATACTTTGGGACGGGATGTGTTTTTTTGAATAACCGTTCCGTACCGTCCCATGCTCACCCCTAATTTCTAATAAAGAACATTTTCATATTGTTTGTAAATTATGAATCATTTTTTATAAAAATACAATCAATCGAATTTTAACTTGATCAACAAACCGTCCAAAAATGACAAAGTTTTTAAAAGGGGTAATTATCCTAAATAGTACTAAAAAAGGGGTAATTTGAGTGTGCACCCCATTTTATTGTCAAAATTGGATTTTGCACCCCGTAGTTAAAAATCTTTGTTTTTGCACCACAACCCAGTATGAAAAGTCAAAATGCCCCTCAATCAGGGCCTTACGATGGATAACACTTAACATAATTTATTTTTACCCAATAAAATAAAATATAATTAAAACAGTCCAAAAAATACAATTTTCGGGACCGATTGTACACACCGGGGTACAAAGGGATGACCTCCCACATGAGTGGGGGCCACCCCACGTTTTTTGTGCTCAAATGGACCAAGTGAAGGCCAATAGTACACATGATGGGAGGGGTAGACATTTGGAGACATTAAAAGGGCCCCTCTCTCACTTATTAGCTAAATGAGACAAAAGGAACCCATCCCCCTCCTTCCTCATCATTGTGCTCGACCAAGGAATCAAAGAGGAGCAAGAGAGAGCTCTCAAACCAGCCTCCATTGTCGCAGCACGAGCTCAAGAAGAAAGTGGTCCAAAAGAGAGGATTTAAGAAGGAAAAAGTGAGGAAAAGCTTGGTTAATTAAGGTAATGACCTTATAATAACTTTTCCCTCTATTCTTTAGCTATCATATGGTTTATATAGCACATGAGGAACCCTTATTGTGGTTCTACATATTTACATATGTAGAAAGATGGGTTGAAATGTGATTCAAAGTCCAAGAGCGGACTTATAACCAAAACGACCGGTTCGCCGGAAAATAACCTTTTAAAGGTTATTTGTGTTGATATGGGTTTTATGATGATGAAACTATGTTAAGAGCATAACTAAAGTGTTCTATAGTTCGCCGGAGTTTCGCCGGAGTTTCACTGGAGTTCACCGGAGTTTCCCCGGCGTTTCACCGGAGTTCAACCGAGGAGCATAGAACGCGCTTAAGCTCATTTGAGGTGAGTGGACGGTTTAATATCTTATAACTTTTGGGTTAATTATGAGATTACCTAAATGAATGTTATATGTATTCATAATGCTGTTTAAAAGGTATTTAAACATGTGATTAGCCAAAATGATTAGGCATGTATGAAAAGAAGTACATGAATATGCATGGAATATGACATGAGAATTTCTATGAAATTGCATACTATGTTTGGAAGGTAAAGGAAGTATAGAATGAACATTGTTAACTTAATATATATGATGATTAAGTTGATATGTACAAGGCTTGAAATGGCGGTCAACGAAAACATTGACCGATGGACAATGGATTAATTAATACCGGATGGTATTAGTTAATTATGAATTTATATAAACGCATCGCTTTGCATGGATTGTGATACATAAGCTTTATATATTGATTTAGCTATGAATGAATAAATATGATATAGACTCTATCTAGGTTGATAGGAGGTTGATCATAGGATTATAAATTTGGTGGAGGACCCTAGGACTTAAAGTCCTTAACACTCATATTATATTTTGGTGGAGGACCCTAGGACTTAAAGTCCTTAACACTCATATTATATTTTGGTGGAGGACCCTAGGACTTAAAGTCCTTAACACTCATATTTTGGTGGAGGACCCTAGGACTTAAAGCCCTTAACACTTGGATTATAAATTGGTGGAGGACCCTAGGACTTAAAGTCCTTAACACTCATATTTTGGTGGAGGACCCTAGGACTTTAAGTCCTTAACACTCAGATTATAAATTGGTGGAGGACCCTAGGACTTAAAGTCCTTAACACTCGGATAATAAATTGGTGGAGGATCCTAGGACTAAAAGTCCTTAACACTCAAATATATAAGTTGGTGGAGTACCCAAGGATTATGATCCCCAACACTCATAGATTATGATATTGAAATATGGACAAGGAGGAGTCCTATACACTCATAGGTATATGGGTGAGTTGGGGTTTTTAGTCAAGAATATTGGCTATTACTATTTTCCCCAAATAAAACGGTGATCTACGGATCGGGTATTTTCCAAATGTATATATACTATTAAGTATTTCTTAACTTGGGGGAAAGGACTATTTATATAAGTATCACCCTACGTTTGGGTCTTATACTTGAAACGCTAGTTATTCTATATTTAGCCTGCTACTCGCTCGGTACTTGTACTGACCCCTTCAGGGCCCCCCCACCATTTTCAGGTTGAAGCTAGGGCTTGCTACCCGCACCTTTCTACGGGTGACATCAAATCAAGGAAGACGTGGTTCGTGCTTCCTCGTTTTCTTTCAAATTACCAAACATTGCTCATGGATACTTATATTTATTATAAACTACTTTTGGGGCTTACATGCCCATGTTTTTGGCCGAATGTGGCCTACGAGTTACCGCTGAATATTTCCGCTATTCAATGGTTTAAATTGAGATATTTGTTATGTATGTTTACTATTGAGTATGGATGGATTGTTTCTCGAACGCCTTGTATGATTAAGTGAGGTTGACCTGCGGGTGACGTCACTCGATTATACGGCGGTTGTACACGCGCTTAGATTGCGGTCTGGGGCGTGACAATTAAGTGGTATCAGAGACATCTCAGTTCTAAGATTTTGCAAAAAGGAATTTTTACCGAAAACCATGGGCATTGTATTTTGACGTTCATAGAACTATTGTTACCTAGGTTGCAAGGTCTCTAATTGTTAAGATGGTACCCTTTACAATTGGTATGGCGGTGACTTGGGCCAATATGTGTCAATAACGTGTTCCGTCAATTGACATTGATTGGAGTCTAACGACTCGTTCAAATTTCTTTGTAGAAATGGAGGGTAGACGTATACCGACGAGAAACAACCCTAGGGGAAGAAGAGGAGGCCGTGTAGGTCGTGGGAGCCACCGTGCCCAAACAGTGAGCGATGGCCACGTGAGCTCGGTGTATGAGACTAACACCGAGGACTATGATTCGACTTTTGTTCCCGAAACGGAGCGTGAGGAAACCCCATATGATGGGGGCGGTTTCAACACGGATGATGATGATGACAATGATGAAAGTGATGCCCGTTTTGCTCAGATGGGTGAGCTATTAGAATGGTATCAAAAGGAAAAGCTGAGGAGAGATCTTAGACGCCAAGCTAGGCGTGGCTCTCAAGGTGGATCAGGTCAAGGAAGCAGGGGAGCTTCAAGAGCCGTTTCAGGGGTGTCTCGGGATAGACGTGAAGGAGATTTCTGTGTGAGAATCTCCAAATACCTCAAGGAGGCTAGAGCCTTGGGGTGCAAGCCCTTCAACGGCACCAACGATGTTACTGTTACCGCCGATTGGATTACGAAGGTGAAAGATGCATTGAGAGACATGCAAATAACACCTGACGTGAAGTTGACTGTTGCTTCACGTTTGCTTGAGGGGATAACTTCTACATGGTGGGAGAGCGTGGAAGGAAAGTACTGTGGGAATATCTCATGGGCAAACATTGAACAGGAATTCTACGCCCAATACTACTCTGACTATGAGGTGAATGTGAAGCGTAGAGAGTACACGAACCTCAAACAGAAGGAGGGCGTGACCGTTAAACAATTGGAGCAAGATTTTAGAACCTTGGCTAGGTTCTTACCGGAGTATGCGGCCGATGAGGACCGCATGACCGAGCACTTTTGAGATGCCTTATTGTTGGACATCCGTGACCGGGCCACATACCCACGCCACATGACTTTTAGTGAAGTGGTGGAACAAGGTATGCTTGGGGAAACCCAATGGAATGAAAGGAAGGAGAGAGACGCTGAGGAGGCGAAGAAGAGGAAGTGGCATAGTTTGGGACTGCCCGAGCACTCGCGTAAGAACAACCACGAAGGCGGTGGTCCGTTCAAGGTGCCGGCACCACCGATGAAGAAGAACAAGGACTCTACGTGGCACACGTCCGGGCCTCACCATTCGGGACCACCAAAATGTGCCAACTGTTCAAAGAACCATTTCGGGAAGTG